TTCAGCACCATGGAATTTAGGGGTTTCTATCCTAAATGTGATCCTACCCATCATACACTATCACACAATCCCCACGATCATACGAAAACCCACCCTTACTGCCCGAAACTATTATCTTGCTCAAATTCAAGTCTATTTCTCCACTTCTATCTCTTGTCCTCTCGATACTACAATTCTTATACGCTACACTAGTCAATTGTTCCATAATTTCTCCTCTCAGAACCTATAATTATATCCATCACCAACTCTACATAGTTACTCAGAACCCATATGCTCCTTAATTTCCTCTCGGAACCTATTTCATACTCATCGCTATTACTACGGAAATTATACCGGATTTCACCAATCTCATAACAGCAAATACACCACTCTATCAGTATCAGCAACAATCATCACACTCTACTCTAATCAATTGTTCCTTAAACTATATATCAGAACCTATATCATGGTCATTACCCAAGCCACAGAGGTTACACAAAATCTCACCAATACTCATGGTCATTATCCAAACCACAGAGGTTATACAGGAACTCACCAACATCGTAACAATGTACGAATTTCATCACCATCAACAACAACAACAACAGGTATAATGTCATAAATTCGTGTTCATCACTAATATTACAGGAATTACACAGAATCCCACAATCATCATAAAATGTATGCACAAAACTCTTCAATCACAACAACATTCATAAACACAGACATAATATCATATATCAATCATAATCATCAAATTCCTACGGGGTTAAGGAATCCCCTCTACCCAATTTCATGCATTATACCAATCCCAAACAATTTCTCCCCCTTACCTGGATAATTGTTCTGATCGGTGAAGAGTCCTCCCAAGATTGGATAGCCTTGACCTTCTCTCTTCTCCTCCGTTCTTCACTCTTCTCCCAATTCTCTCTTCTCCCGTTCTATCGTGTCTTCTCACTTCCCTCTTTCTAACTCCCTAATAACCCCTCACCTCCTATTTCCTTTTTAATTTCTAATCCCAACTAATAATAATAATAACATATAATATTACTAAATATTAATAATAGTAACCATAATAATAATAACAATATTATTATCTCACCAATAATCATAATAATATAATAACCATAATAATAATAATAATATTATATTCTCCATATTAATAATATTACTACTACTACTACTACTAATAATAAAATAATAATAATAATACCACCATATTACTACTATTTATTATATTATTCTATCCACACCAAAACACCACAAATAATCCTCCCATATCAGGGACACCCACCAATCATCATCAAACACAATCCCCACCAAAGGGCACACCAGCATATAATAACTAAAATAATAATAAAATGACTAAATAATTAAAATGGGTGTTACAACTTACGCTCCTCCTGAGACATGATCTATCCCCACCATTCTCCACAAGGGAGTACGGGTGAATCACCTACGCTCCTCCTGAGAAATGATTCAACCCCACCATTCTCCACAAGGGAGTACGGATGAATCACCTACGCTCCTCCTGAGAAATGATTCATCCCACCAAAACACCACGATATGCACGACACCAAATGCACAACACACAACTCAAGCACACTAAGTGCACACGATCCTCCTGATCATATCACCATACATTATATATATATATATATATATATATATATATATATATATATATATATATATATATATATATATATATATATATATATATATATATATATATATATATATATATATATATATATATATATATATATATATATATATATATATATATATATATATATATATATATATATATATATATATATATATATATATATATATATATATAGACACACACACACACACACCAATCAATTATGTCAATTAAAATGAATAATAGGGAAATCACATTCGAACACCAAATATACACTCCTCACCATTCACACCATTCCTATACTCAACATGGCCAAAAGGGATCCTACAAAACATCAACATTGGATGGAACCACAAATATAAAGCAAGTTGTTGTCACGCTCGCTGGCCCACTCGCCTAGCGAGGCCTCAGCGAACGCTCGTTGCCTCACTCGCCTAGCGAACTTGCTAGCGAAGGCAGACAGTGGCTACTGGAAGTGTTCGCTACCCAACTCGCCTAGCGAATTCCTAGCGAATGCTCGCTACTAGCTCGCTCAGCGAAGGTGCTGGTGAACGTCTACGATTTCACAAAACCCTCACTGTCCAGAAATTCATCAGAAGCTCATAAATCATCCGATTCTCACCAAACCAGTCCCTGTAGTCTTAGCCTAACATTCTACGACTAAACTACACGACTTATTCCAAATTTTACCCGATAAAACATCAATTCTACCGATTAAATCATTTTCGACCTAAAATGGTAAACTACACAAAATCACCCAAACCATCCAAACAATCCCTATACAACCACATGCACAAGGTTCATCATGTCAGCAACAATCAGAAACACAACAACATACTAATCATATTCATCAAATCCCTATAGGGTTAAGGAATCCCCTCTACCCAATTCATGCAAATTACCAATCTCAATCACTTTCTCCCCCCTTACCTCGATTAATTGCTTCGATTGATGAAAAACCCCCAAGAATCCGACAGCCTTAGCCTTCTTCCTCTTCCTCTTGTTCTTCCTCCTCAATCTTTCTCTCCACTTGATCGTGTTCTCTCCTCTTCTTTCCAGAAACTCACTAATACCCCTCGTATATCTCTTATTCCTTATTTATTCATTTAACCTCAATAATAATACAAATAATAATAATAATAATAATAATAACAATATTACTATTAGTTATTAAATTATTATCATTATTAATTATATTATATTAATATTAAAGTCTATAGTTTATTTAATAACCTCCACAAAAGATACGCCGAAATAAAATAACACCAGAAAGACTAAATAATTAAAATGGGTGTTACACTTTGGACCCTGCTCCACATCATAGAGAATTGTTCTCTATTCAAGGGTATGATCCTCATCCCTACCCCGAGGCTTGGCTCAGATCAAAGTGGACGTCTCTGAGCTCCACCACTTATGCCCTTGGATTGGTTATATACATTTCCATTTAAATAATGAATTGAATTTGTTACAAATAAATAACGAAAAGACGGCGTAGATAAACTTCGTCGACAAGTTCGACGTGGATGGAAAATATCTCGGGTCTCTAGATGTTGTCCTTTACCGGGATTCCGGGTTGAGTGTACTTCCCGATTTAAAACGCCTTCCTTAATTGAAGGGGGTGTCTAGGTGCCCCATTTTACATTTGCTTGCCGATGTTGTGTTCGAAGGTCGACTTCTCCAGAGACGTAGCTTGACGTCGGCCGTTGAATCTTGAGCTCGCTGAATCTCTATGTCCAATGCTTCGCTAGAGCACTTCTTAATCATCGAGGTGGAGACCTTCTGACTTTTTTCCTATTCCAGGGCGATGCACCTAGTATTGGATCGACACCAATATTAAGTATGAACTTGTTGTATCCGAGTGTCATTAACTATGAACTTGTGGTATATTATGATGCTACCTTCATAAACACCCTAACAACAACAAGAAATGTGAGGATGGCGCCAGGTCGAGAGGTGAGTTGCGAATCCCTGGTCCGACCTTAATGGAAATTTCCTTTAGACCCTGGTGTAATCCTAGATCTATATCTGAGACCCTTATTTTGCTTTTCAGTTGAGTTTTCGAGAGGATCAAGGATCTAGATTTTGGAGAATCACGACTGAGAAGATAATTGGTCGAATTAGCTATGATGAATCAGGTGTTCGCTTCTGAGCGCTTTTCGATTTCGAGATCTAAGAGGGTTATGATGGTGAAACTGAAAGGTGATTCCATATTTGGCGAAGACCTAGGAATCAAAAGTTGATTTGATCTTAATTCGATGACCTTAGAAGGTTATAAACTGGTGAATCAAAAATTCGATATAAAATCGTGGAAATCATATGAATCGAAAGTCGATTTTCACAGACGATGTCATTGTTCCGTTTAGGAACTAGAAATGGATGTTCTTATTGCACAAAGGAAGTAGAAATGGAGACAATTGAATAACTGATGATCTTGAACGTTAACTCTGATCTCCTTTATGATACTGCATGATGGATCTGCATGATGAACACTTAAATGTCCAAGTCAATTCAAAATTCAAAATAAATATTAAGTATAAAGTAAATGAATATCAACACTGTACCTTACTATTAGCGTGTAAACTATTTTATACTTTCAATCGAATAAAATAGATTTGAGATGGATTGAACCGTAGTAATTTATGCTTTTCCCATTTAAAAGAGATACAATTTGAAAGTACATAGTAGTGTTACCATGGGCCTTCGGTTAGTAGTTATTTGATAGGATGACTTGTACTAATGTTAATTTGTGTTCAATATAAAAAATTTCTCTAAAAAAATATAGGTTTGATTCTTTTAAATTAAAAAAATAAAATTAATACTTTTAACATATTTATTTATTTTTGTATTCCTTATTAGACGGGCCCTTTAACTGTTTAGGTGAGGAAAACTAATAAGGAGAAATAAATAATCTGATTTTGTTGACAGCTGTTTCAAATTATTTAACAATTTAAATATCCTTTAGCAAAACGTACAAATTCTTGCCTTCATGGTTACGTCTCTCTCCATGTTTCTCTCTCCCTCTCAGGTCAAAAGCAACAAAACATAAAACCTCTCTCCATCTCTACCCACCTTTCCTCCACAATCTCGTTTCATTTTCCATCAACCTCAACAAACTCTTTCTCTCTGCAAAAACAAACCGCAATAACAAAATAAAAACCTAACCACAAAACACTATCCTCCAAGATATAATAAAATAATATCCCGCGCCCAACTATCATCCATCATCCTCCGCCGCCTCACCCAATCACCTTCACCCACCGTCCCTCTTTCTCAAGGTACCATAAATAATAATTTTATTTATAAAGTTTTTTATAATTTTTTAAATAATTTATCTATTCAAATATTGATTATCGCTTTGCTTACAGAGTCGATGGCTGAATTCAAAAACAACGCCAATACGTCGTCGTCTAGGCTTCCGATCTTCAACCGTTCTTTTACAACGCTTCGCCATGAAGAAAAACAACCGCTGCAAAAAACCCTAAACCTCGAACGCACCGCCTCGCTTCGCGGCAGGGTCGTCAAAAAGCTCTGTAGTTTCTTCGAACCGGCGACACCGTCTTCACAAGAAGAATCACCGTTATCCAGCAAACCAAAACCCTTAAAATTAACCGAATCAACATCGGTTTCAAAATCGTTGGATGCTTCACGGATCATTCGACTACCTGGAACAGAAGATCGAATCGTGTTGTATTTCACGAGTTTGCGTGGAATTAGAAGAACGTACGAAGATTGCTATGCGGTTAGGATGATATTGAGAGGATTTAGGGTTTGGGTTGATGAAAGAGACGTTTCCATGGATTCTTGTTACAGGAAGGAGTTGATGAATGTGTTGGGTGAGAAGAGTATGAAGAACGTGACACTGCCGCAGGTTTTTATTAGAGGGAATCATGTTGGTGGTGCTGAAGTGATGAAGCAGCTTTGTGAGGTTGGTGAATTGGGGAAGATCTTGGAGGGTTTACCGAAGACGAAAGCTGGGTTTGTTTGTGAGAGCTGTGGTGATATTAGATTTATGCCTTGTGGTAATTGTAGTGGAAGTAGGAAGGTTTTTGATGAGGATGAAGAGTTGTTGAAGAGGTGTTTGGAGTGTAATGAAAATGGATTGGTTCGGTGTCCCAATTGTTGCAGTTATTGAGATTCTTTTCGACGCGTTTATTGGTAGTTCGTGTCTTTGCAATTGCAGGTTGTTTATTGTTGATTGCTTGCAAGTTTTTAGGGTTTGATATATATAATTTGATCAAGATCGATAAATTTGAGTTCTGTTGTTGGTGGTGTCGACGGGGTTTATATAAATAAAGGTATGCGGATGTGATTCTGGGCGACCACATCACCCATCATGAATGAGGATTCTTTGTAATATCAAGTAAAGTTCACGATGCGGCTGTATCTGTATCGTGAATGTGTGACTCCAGGTGAGACGACATCAGCTGCTGCCATGATCGACGCATCTATGGTTCAAAATCTTGGTTATATTATGGTTCAAAGTTCTCTTTGAATTTTATATGGTTGTCTTTATTTATTTGTTTATAGGAATTGTGTGATGAGCTGAAGCAGATGGTGTTTTCAGCTCCTTGAACTGGATTTTGTTCAAGAATGTGTTCTTATTACCCAAAGGAAAATGAATTTGCTAATTGGGTTTGAGTGTGTATGCATGTTGTAGTTCATTCCTGGTGAAGAGTGTTTCTCATCAAGGGAATGTAAATATTTAGTGTAATGATATATGATTCCTTCAAGCGATAAACAAATATTGACAATTGAAATTTATATATAGAGTGGTTTGTTGTTTTTATGCTTTATATTTCTATATTTGATTTCTCTCGTGTCTTCTTGCATTTGATTTTTTATAGCACAGAGAGCCTGAAGATTTAAACAGCTTATATTTTGCATATCCCAATGCAATATTATGACATATATATGTGAGAGATGTATATTCTTCAGTGGGGACAGTGTCTCTTATACCAATCATATGATATTAAGGTTATTTTAATGCCTCTGGTGTTTGTATCTGTTCCAGTGATTGTTTGTGATGTTAGTTGAACATAATTTTCATTACATGTTGATATGAAGAGTGTGCTGTTATTTGCAAACACCTTGAGTCAAGTTAGACCCATCAAATTGAATTTCAACTTTGGTGATCTAAAGTGATTGGAACAGGGTGTTGGCACAAGTTAGACCCATGAGAAATGAAGAATAGTTAATTCTATGTAATTTTCATTATTGTGAATGAAGATTCTTAACTATGCAGCAGTACTGCAAAAATAATTGTGATTTGATTTGAGACATTGAGTCGTTTTGAAGATGAACCTATTGTTCGTGTAGTGTTTGAAAGACATGTGTTGGTTGGGTGCTTTGGCCGTGTGAAGTTTGGGTGCTTTAATGGTGCGATGTTTCGGTGAATATTGATTGAGTGCTATAGAAGAATGTGGTAATATCGTATGCCTGATCAGTGCTATGGTAAGATGTGGTGTCAACATATAGTTGTTGGTGATATGAGTCATGCTCTTGATTTTTGTGTTTGGGTATGTGGCGTGAATTGATCACAGGTTTGGGTGTAATGGTAAGATGTGGTGGCGTCATATAGTATGCGTTTTTACACAGAACTATATGGTTGACACAAAATTGTTGAACCGCCCAACTATATGTTCTTATTTTATTTATGTATCTTATCAAAGGGTAAATACATAATATTTACAACATTACTAGTAGTTTCAGAAAATAAAAGGTTATCAAATAGTATCATAATATAACATTGTGAAGGTGTGAAAAGTACACAAGAAGGGGGGTTGAAATGTGTTTCGTGTTTTCTTTCATTTAACTTCTGATCAGAGTTTCAGAATTGGTGTTCAAATTATGTTTTAATTCATTGTAGCATATATAACAGAAGTAAACAAATAACAGTAGAAGACACAAAAGATTTATCTTGTTTCCTCCTCTAACAGAGAGTACTCTAGTCTCCCTGCCTCATAAGAGATTTTCATTTTATCCACTTCATGATTACAATTAATTATGTTTTTGCATAAGTATTTTATAATTGTTCAGACTAACTGTCTGAGACTTTCTTGCTTAAAGCACATGATTAAGACTTCTGCTCACATCCTCTGACCGTGCCACCTGCTCTTCTAGTCATTCAGACTGAGACTTTCCTGCGCACATACTCTGATCGAGCCACCTGCTCTTTTGGTCATCCAGAGTGAGACTTCCTTGCTCAAGAAGCACTTGAGACTTCCTGCTCACGCCCCTCAGACGGAAACTTTTCCTTTGCTTAATCAGCCTAGTTGGATAAGACTTTCACAACTCAAGCACTTAAGCAATGAGACTTATGTGACTTAAGCATCTGGGCTCAAGAATTCTACTCAAGCACATAGCAATAGACTTTAATCTAAATTACTGAAGGCTCAGCGAAATAGAGAACAAGGTGGACATGATACAAACATTAGAGGTACGAGAAATTACCATAATAAAGACCTAAAGCTCTTAAGATTTCTAAGATATTTAATGAAAAGAAATCTTAAGGATTTTACAATTACTACCCACAACAGAAAATCTGCATATTACAATAGAGATGATAATTACTTGATCTTGTTACTCCTTCATCTGAAGAATACTTGTTAAGATTTAAACTTGAATCTATAGTCATATTTATAGCCTTTACAGAAAGTAATTGTTGAGGAGGTAACTTGATCAATTGACTTTGCCTTTGCTCCATAGTACAAGAGACGTTGAAGATGGATGCACATCAGATTCTGAATCCAGTGTGTAACACGTTTAACCTTTAAGTCTTCAAGAGGTTATGTACTGATAGAGCTGTTGAGAGCAGATATCCGTAGAGCATGCCAACCTTTCTCGAGTCTTGCAATCTTGTAGACTCTAGCTGACAATATGATAAGACAATACAACTTGTTTTTTTACAGTATAGAAAACCACAATTTTATCACCAACTCTGAATGGTACCAGATGTTAATATACAATTATCAAGTATAGTAACTCGTCTGAATGCTGACGCCTTTAGCTCAGAGTCTGCGTCAAGCCACACTATCAATTATTTTTCAAATTATGCCAGCAGAAGCTAGAAATGAAGCAACTCCCAAGCGTACTCATGTAACACAGATTTTGATTGTTTATGTACAAGAACCTGCATAAATAAAACACACATCAAATAAACCATTGTTCTTTCCATACTTTGTTATCATCAAAATTAAAAGAGAACATGTCATGAACAAATCTTGTTCTAATAATCTCCCTGAAAATTCTGGCCATCTCACGATGGATGTTCTAACAGAAGTTATAACATCCACTGTGACATTCACTACAAACTTATTATAATGCAGTAATTTTAAAGCAGTAAATACACAGTAATTGTTTATCCAGTTCAGTGTCAACAACACGTACATATGGGGGCTACCAAGCCAGGGAGGAAATTCACTATTAGCAGTATCAATTCAGAGTTAAACCTCCAGTTTACATTCCTCACTTAATCACTACCCAATGACACTTCAGCCTAGAGACTCTCTAGCACCTGAGTATACCCACTCACTCCTCCACTATCACACACCTGCGATATCAGTTACAATTGAAAAAAATAGTTTTGAAGAGACACTCCAAAACGCACACCTTGATCTTGCTTCACAGCTTTGATCAAGAACACGTCACTCTTGCTTCACAACTTTGAGTGTTACACCAGCCTAGAAACTACCTAATCAAGACAATTATGTAGAAGCTAATTGCTTGAATTACAAGTGTTCCTAAGACACAATCGTGAAGAACAACCTCTTCACTTCTAAACCACTATGGTGATTTCTCTGTTTCTCTATCTGGAACAGCTGCCTTCTAGGATTGTTTCTCTTGGTATTTGTAGCAGCAGATCAGTCCTTGGGCATGGGTGTATACATTAGGTTTTATCCATCACAAAATCTCTCTTTTGCATTCTGCATGTTTGCCTCTTTAATCAGGTACATATTAGTTCCCCTAGGGTGTCTAAAATGTCTCCTGCATTCCAGCTTGAGCTTCTGAGTTATTTCTTGAGTTATAGCTACTAGAATAACAAACTTCCGCTTGATGTCATACGACCTATGTCATAACATTAAGTATGACATCCAGCTTAAATTATAGTTAGCTTAGTTAACTTACCCTGCACAGTCCATATTATGAATGTAATAACATCAAACATGACATTCCTACATGTACTCATATTTTGCCATAAAATGTAGCCAATCAAGAGCACTTACAAACTCCCCCTTTGGCAAATTTTTGGCTAAAACACTTTGTACTTACATCAGAGATTTCCTACACAGCAAAAGACTTAACAATGGTCCTGTCATGCAGGTAAGTCACTTGCTGCTCAAGCTCTCAGAATCCTCACAGTTGGCTTTAAGCCCTGTTAACACTCACTTTGTTAACTCTCAATAGACTTTGATGCACTTATTAGCTGGGCAATATCCTGCATATACAGTAGTTACATAACTTGAGTACCTTGTTTGGTTACTCCCCCTCAACTGATGATCTTTTCAGCTGAGTTCACAGTCTGTAGTTACATAGCAACATCCAGCCTGTTTTGGGTGTCATGACATCCAGGATAACATTCTGAAGTCACACAAATTACTAAGCCTAACACTCTGACCTGTTAGCTTAGACTTCAGCAGTCTCACTTGCTTGTGGACTAATCCACCTGTTCTTCCACCTGCTTATTTCCCCTGCTTATTATAATCACATATGCACTCAACACTCTTTCTCTCCCCCTTTTTAGCCACAAATTAAAATCCAACTAATAAGATAGTATAGATCATATTAGAGGACACACCATCCTTAGCTCAGCAACTAGCAGCCTAAGCTCCACAACAGTCTATCAGCTCATTACTTTTCCTCCTCAGAGGCAGAACTGGAACCTATGTAATTAGCACCGGTTGAAGCATTCTTCGCAAAATCGTCACCTGACATACCCACACCATCAATATCAGCTTTACTTTGTTCAAGACTTCGAATAAAGGATTCTAGCTTGATCTTTCTTGCAGTTGTTGTACTAATGGTTTCTTTCAATTCCCTACATGCTTCCTTTAATTCAACAATTATTATTTCTTTAGACATGTTTGCCTTCTCATCAGGAGTGAGTACCATATCAGGGACATGTTTCCCTTTGGA